CCCCCTTTTTTTTTGCACAGAGCATATTAAACAAAATTTCCCAATACAGGCATGACCTGACATTTACAGTTATAAAATCCTGAGCCAGGAAAGTATTAATCTCTCAACCAGTAGCTGTATCAATGTCATATTATCCTCCTAGCTATATATCGTGAAATACTCAGATGGGCTTATACTAACAGTTTTTTCAAGGTCAGAAGTTGTTGCAAAGACTAAAGTAAAATATTAACGAGTTCTATGTTCACATTGTACCCTACCAAATAGACTTGCACAGTCAAACACTTCGCACACATACACAAACACACACATACTTTCACAGGACAAACCACCTGAACATTCAGTTACTGTCTTCTGCTGATAAGGATTAGAGATCCTCCTGATGGTATTAAAGAAGTATCTCAACGCACAGGCTCTCACCAACTTTCAGTAAAAAAACCAAACCAAAACAAAAAGCCAAAACACAAACAAGCAATTGCCCTTCCCAATCCAGACGAACTGAAATAGTCCTGGCTGAATAAGGTTCACAGTGGTGAAATTACTATTGGGGATAAAACAGATTTTTATTTTTTTTTTATTCTTACTTAGATGTGGTCCAATTCAACTCAAATAGAACTCTGCAGGACAGTTTTGCTCAGAAGCTTTCTTGACTCTATAAACAGCATCAAAAGCACTCAGTTGTAGTTTCATGGTACTGTCTGCATCCAAACACATGTCCCCACTAAACAAACGGAAGAGCAAATTGCATGGAAATGAAAGACCAGAGGAGCTGGAACTGAAAAAGCTTGCTTTAGCACGAAAGACAAAGTCACCTTCAGTGCACTTTAGAGTCCTATTTATTATTCTTGTTGGCAACACAGCTAATATTCCATAATTTGTTTGGTATTTCATTTAATGGGTGCCTAAAATCATGCATGATGTTATTACCAAACAACTTCATTCCCATGCACAGGACACTTACATCAAACCAAATCAAATCTGTCTCCCAGATTTTCCATATACACTTCTAAAATAGGTGTTTCCAACAACAATGCTTATTTAAGGAGTGCCTGAAGCCTTCTCTCCATCATCACACTTCTGTCTGTGCACCCTCCCTCTTTTTCCCCTACTCCACCTGTGTTTGTAGGACCACACTGGAAATCAACCAAAAACATACCAGGTTTTTACATATTTTTTTACATATATGATGTAAATTCCTTGGATTGCATCATCCAATCTTTCCAGCTTGCAATAATATAAAAAAAAGAATTTAACAGGTCAAGCAGCTTCAATCATATAAAACAAGATTTTCACACACACTGTTGGGTATTCCAGATTAATTATAAAAGCAATAATTAACATAATATGTAAGGTCACAGCAGACCACTCATCTAACTCCCTGCAGAGACTGGTTATACTTTCCTGATAGATCATATATCAAAACTCAACTAATCTCAGCCAGGAAGCATAGAGATAATGCTGGGCTTCAAAAAATCATTAAGGGTACTAATACTAGCAAGATTTAAAAAAAAAACACAACAACAACCCACCACCACTTTCCAATTAAGCATGAGAAAAGTTTTACAACAAAAATCATTTGAAGTAAAATCAGAAGAGCAGAACTGGTGCTTAGAGCAACATTAATTAATTTAATTTCACTTTTGAACATCTTATTAAACTTCCTATTAGATAGACTGTGTCATGCAAGTAAATAAATGCTATTTATAACTATCTCTAAGCCACAGCAACCCAGTCATAGAGCCATTTCCCAGGCTGTGTTATTGTTATGTCAAACAAACTACTCTTTCATTTCTTGTCAGTTGTAATTACAGTTCCATAATTGAAATACAGTAAATTACCATGCAGTAACTTTGAAAGACAGTTCACTGAGGTTAAGCTGTCACTACAATTACTGTATAATAAAACCCGATAATTTAAATGTTCTACTTTTCTCTCAAAGAAAAAAAATTAATTCAGTTCAAGCAGCTCAGATGAGTCAAATATCTTCATGATGATGTAAACAAAGAGAAACAACACATTTAAGCAAAGCCCAACAATCTCAAGTAGAAGTCCTAGGCTGCATAAACAAATCAGTGTATATAAACTTTTCTAACCACTGACGAAAATTGCACATTTAAAAACAATCCTTTAAAAGAATACTCTTTATCAGAATTCAGTCATACAATATCTACCCAGCGTCTTCCATATGTGGTCCTGTTTTGCTCATAAAGCATAGAAAGCTTTGGAAAATTCTTTCAAGTTTCAAGCACAATCTTAATTCAATTTTATGTTATGTTTTTGGCCACAACCAGTATGGTAACTGCAACCTGCCTAACACCAGTGAGGTGTAGGTAAAAGATATAAATTAGCAGGGACTTTTCTAAGTATATGTCCTGGTTTTTAGCTGAAATAGAGCTGGGTTTCTTTTTCAGAAAGTGGGCCTACAATTTTGATTTATTTGGTCAAGCACAGTTTGCCTGTAGAAATTTTCTCAAATATTTGACAGAAAAAAAATGAAGGAAGGGGATGCAGAAAATAGACAAATAACTGTCATCATAAAAATAATGTTCAAAATTTTATGAGAGCTGTCCCCTTACAAAAAAATCTTTCAATAAATTCCTAGCTGCTGTCTCTGCAAAGGTAACTTCACAAAGGACATCTTTTCAAAAACAGTAACAGATATGCACATCTGAAAACTGTTCCTTTTCTCTCTCTCTCACAAACACTTCTTTCTGATGCTGGAAGAGGCAATTCCTTCAGTTCTGTTTTCTTCCTGCCTACCTTCCAGACACCCAATCCCTGCTATTTCCCTTGTGCTGGCACTCATTTGACCATTGAGTAAACAAGATAAGCTCAATAAATTAAAAGGACACAAAACAAAACAAAAAAAACCCTAGTAGCAAGCAGTTGAAGGGGACAAGGTGGGATGATATAACCAGGGAACATGATGTGACACAAGGAGCTGAAAGTAGGAACAGTGGGCTGCAAAGAACTGCAGAGAACTGTTAGAAGCTCCAAAACTGTAATTTCAACAGCATCACTGTAAAGTACACTGGTACTTTTCAGGGTATTCTCAAGGTTTCAGTGATTCCATTTAACCCAAGACAAGCAAATGGTCCTCTGTCTTATACTCCCATGTATTATCTCTCAAAGTTTGCAATGAAGCAAATACAGTAAATAACTGTTTGAAGAAAGGGCCACAACTTCAGCTGTGGCAAACAATCAAAACATTACATAAGTGTATGAAATAAAACTTATTCCCAGCAGCTAAGAATCTCCTAGCTCAAATCTTTGCCTATTCATTTTGCTAAGAAAATAGTTGTATCTGAAAGCATCTAGTATACGACATCTATAAGAGGTATGATTTTTCCATGTAGAGATTAATTGTAATTACTTATTTCACCTCTTTTGCTTTCTCCAGGCTCTGCTGTAGATTGAGCAATTCTTCATTGTGTTGCTCTTTAAGTTTATCCATCTCCATGTCATGGCTAGATACTTCTTCTTTTAGTGCTCCTTTTAAAGCTGTAAGCTCTCTCTCTCTCTTTCTCAAAATCTCTTCTTGTTGATCTTTTGCTATTAATACCTCTTGCAGATCCTCCTTCATTTGCATCAGCTCCTAAAGAACAAAATTGAACAAAACTGAATGACAAATAGATCCAATGGATGTTCTGTTTGTGTTTCAGAGAATAAAGCATATGTTTCCCAATACCAACTTCATTTCATATGACCGATGTATTTTTGTGGCTTTTATAGTAAGCTAAAAATTTACTAAATCCTAAGATTATTAGAAGTGTAACATATAGCTAACGTTTCATATAAAGGGTCAACATATCTGATGCTGCAAAACTAAGAAAAGATTTTGATAGTGTACGTTCTGCTCTCTGCAAACAAAGCAGGAGTCAAACTAAGGTTACAATTTAACAATTCCCTTGGTGCTACCTTCTGTAGCAAACAGGTAGATAAGAACAAAGAAAAACTATTTTTTTCCCCACACTGCAAGAGAAGAGAACCCAATGATAATTCCTTGTTGTCTTTTCTGTTGGAAAGAATAAAGAAAGTTGCTTCAGTAAGTGCTGAAGACAAAACAAGTGCTTCCCAACTGAGTCCATGCCTTTATACCTTTCCTCCTTCCACCACGTTCACCCTAGAAGTCACTTCCCCTCTCCAAATTGCTGGAATACAGAATAAAAGAACACCAACAGTCAAAAATGTACAGCTTCAAGAATTATCTAATTCGGTAATTTCACAAGCTGTGAATAATTGCACTTTCAAAGAATGTAAACTTCCCCTGCACTGAAGCAGGATCAGTACATCTAAACCATTTCTGACATACATCATCTACTATGCCCCTAAAAGCCTACAATGAAAGGGATTCTACTATTGTCCCAGATAGCCATGTTCCACTGTTTAATTATCCATATCAATATAAACGTTTTCCAACACTTACTTTAAATCTCTGCAGCTAAGTCTCTCATTTCTTTTTCTATCCCCACGAAACACAGGAACATTGATCACTATCTCCTTTAAAGCAACATTATAGAAGATGTGCTTTTGACTCTTCCCTCACTCCTCCGTTTAGATTAAAGTCCTTCCTCATAGGCAATGTTTTTCAGTACTGTCACCATCATTCCAGATATTACCCTACTTATGTGCAACTTTCAACTGCAGTGACTGAGATTTAAGACAGTAATTTAAGAGATTAATCAAATCTCACCTACACAAAACAAGGTAGTTATTCTATTCAGCTTGTCTTGCATATAAACACCTTTAATATTCCTGAAATATATTGTCTATGCTTTTGCTCCCTATTTTGCATTTTAATATTTACCTTCCATTTCTTAAGATAGTTCTTTCCACTAGTATTAAGAGCAGTTAATTGTTCTGGTACTACAAAGTATTAAGATAATTTTGAATTATAATCTTACTTTTGAATCATTATGCCTTGTTACTCTTACACACCCTTATCAACAAATTTAATAAGCAGTGTTTTCTATTTCATCATCAGTATATTACTAAATAGATATATATTACCAGGGCTACAGTGAATTCCTCTTTCATCCCAAGCTTGTTCCTCTTCAGAATCTATCCCTTCTCTTCTCTCCCTGGTCCCATCAACAGAGAGTCAGCAATTTAGAGACTGCTTTGGTGAGTTCTTTTAATTTTCTTAGTTGAATCTCACATGACCTTGCCAATATGTGTATCTTCTTTAAACTGATCTTCCCTGTTCTGACCCAAAATCCTATATAACTGTTAAAACTGACCGTCATGATTATCTGGTAACAGTGGAAAACTCAGCTGTCCCTCAACTATTATGTTATTTGCTCTCCTATTCTACACAACAATGGTACTTATCCTTTGCATTCCTTCTAGTGTTAATGTAGTTATTATAACATGCTTTCTTAGGTCACCTAATAATGGTACATTGTTTTGGATTGATAGAATGGAAAAAGCTAAGGCATGTATTTCTTCTACCTGGATCTTAGTTCCCACTTTTTATGCAATTCTTCTGCATTTTTCATCCTTATGGTACTTTATAACTAACCTCAATCAGAACCTCTTTCTCCCCTTCATCAGTATGTTTTGCATTATCCAGTTCATCATGCATCTCAGAGAGCTGGTCTTGAAGATCTCTGATCTCAGTCTGGTGTTGTTCCTGCTCCATCTTCACTTGAAAAAGCCTCATCAGGAAAAATCAGACAGGATTTTTTAATTTGTAGAAATACTATTTTTTTCTTCCAAGTACTAAAAAGATACAAGTATCTATTCTCATGTTCCTCACAGGGGAATGGAATATAATGAGGCAGAAAAATGAAATGTCAGAGGGGTAAAAATGAGGGGTTAAAAATGAGGGGTAAAAACTCTTCTAAGTAGATATCTAAAAGGAAAGTTTTAGTTTGTTTTAAACCTGGTACTATATTCTTGACTAAAGCACTCAAGTGTTTCTGTCTTTTAAAGATTGGAGCTATATATTATGACCATGAAATATTAAAAGCAATTCGCAGTAAGAGGAAGGCTATAAATTCAACAATTTTTCTCTTCCTTGCAGATATTATCCCTTAAATGGTAGAAACATTTCCTACAATAACAAACGTCACTGTCTGATCCCATTAACATATTCTGAAGTCAAAAGTACTTTATTTTTCATCTAAAAGGTTTAAGAAAAGGTATAAATTCCAATTAATAACTTTTCTAGAATTAACTCACTCTTCTAGGTTTTGCCTGAGTTCCTTCTCATTTTCTTCCAGCTGCTTTTTTAAGGCTTCTTTTTCACATATACTTTCATCAAGCTGCAACTGAAGTTCTTTCAGGCTTGCTCGTGTAGCATCTCTCTCTTCTTTGGAATTTTGCTGATTCTGAATTTTGTACACCAGAAGTTAAGCAAGATAATATACTAAGCACAAATAAATTAAAGGCTCTTCTTTATTATATGAAAGAAGACATTTCAAAACTTTGATATTTTTCTCTTATAGAAGTGCTTATCAGTTAATGAATATTAAAAGCTTGCAGTGTTTTATTAAAACACACAAAGCACTGCTTTTCAATTTTAAATTAGAAATGTGGGAAGTGAAATCTCCTCAGAACTATCTAATCAGTTTCAAATATATTTATTCTTATCATAGACTCAAAATTGTTGTTCTCACGTCTTCAGAGCAACTTCTTTGAATTCAGCACTGCAAAAATAATGCTGTAATTAATAAACAGCAGCTACATGAGTAATAGTTTCTCTTTCGCTCCATGTTTGTCTCACTGCAGTCAATAGATTAACAATTATCTCTGCAGATATCTAAAAAATTTTATATGCATATGCCTAACATTTTTATTCATTGCTCCAAACGCCTTCTCAAATACTAAGGAGAAAGGGATTTCTTAAAAAGGGTAACTATGCTATGAGCAACTACACTTAAAAAAGTCGTCTGTAAAAGCACAGGTATCTCTAGATTAAAAAGAATATGAAGCAAAAAAAATTCAGCTGGTTGATCAGTGGTCACTTACTAAGAAAAGTATATTTTAAATAGTCAAAAGCTTTACAACAACAAAGTGTCGTACCTTAATTTCTAAATCCAGTTTTTTCTCTAATTCTTCCACTCTCCTTTCAAGTTCTGCTTTTTGCTCCACCAACACTTTTACTTCAGCTGAAGAATCTGAAACCTACAATTAAATAGAGATGTTAATTCCCACAAAGTCAAGATGTTCTTTGACAATTGTTTTTTAAAATCTAAAGTAAAGCTATAAGCAAGGCTAATAAAGTGTAGCATCAATTGCCTGAGCTCACCACGGACTTTTTATATGGGTCAAGCCAAGCTACTACTTTCAAAGGAACTATGATTTGATTTTCATAAAACTTCTTGGTAATTGCCCAAGGCATGTTGCAAATAATACAGAAAACATACAAACCAAAGAAAAAATCAAATTAGGCAACGTATGAATTAAACCACAAATAGTTGGGGTCAAATTTGACTGGGATAGCACCAATTACACAAAATGGACATCAAAGGGATTCATGCTTATACATCAAGACAGATTTTCAAATACTGTTTTTTGGTAATAAGATGTGGTTTGTATCTTCATTCAGGCTAATTATAGCCCAGGATAAAATAAATCAAAAGTAAGCATTTAATCCTTCTTATGCTATCACTGAAACAACTGGGCATTTCTTCACTTGCTTTAGAACTGAAAAAACTGCATCACGTAGCAGGAAACTTTTCAGTAGACAGGCTGTCAAATGCTGTTACTATATGGCTTTTAAATGATATCCTAAATTACTGCTTTTCTAAATCACAAATTAAAATACTCTCCCCACTTAGATATCTATTTATGTCACTAGAATGAGAAAATGCTCCACCATTTTTTAAAGCTATGTATATTAGCTTTTTCTTCGATCCAACAACCTTTTGATTTTCACATTAATTTTGCATCTCTCTCCTTCTAAAATGTAAAAGCAAAATGTAGAAGCTCTCACGGCAGACTCCTTTACATTCTTTTTTAATTGTTAACAAACAGATTTCCCTTAAGTCACCTCAGTGCACAATAAAAACTAAGCTATACTACTGAGGGACTACAAGAATAGTTTAATTGAAGTCAGTGAGGGGATTATAATTTTTAAAGCTGGGTCTGAACACTGTATCACTATGAAACAAGCTAAAACAACTTAAAAAATTGTTTACCTGTGTCTTTCCAGCAGCTCTTGACTTCAAAGTCTGAATTTTTTCAAAAACCAGGTTGACTTTCCTCTTTGTTGCATCATCATTATCAGCACTTCTAAAACGCAAGATAGTACAACTAAGCAACGATATGATCAAAGGTATTATTTTGTTAACATCAAAACAAATTCAGAGTGTCCAAACTATTGAAAATCATTACCACAAAAAAATTAATATGAACCAGTCAGAAATTATCTTAACTATTATTTCACTCAACCCTTTAAAGAAAGGCTGTTAAAAATTTTTATTCCAAATATTTTCTAAAAAAAAAAAATCACTAAACTCTGTAATTGCAACTCTCTTCAACACTATAGCTGTGGAAAGACAGGTATTCAGCATGTATATTATCCAAACATACTGAAATTAGAAGTAATTAGTACTAGGTTTTTCAAGTCCTGACTACTGCACCATAAAATAACACTTCAACAGCTCCCAGAACCTGCTACATAAGGAATGCAAAGAAATTCAAGTGCATCATGCATATTTTAATTCTTTTCTCCTTCCTTCATCTTTCAATAAGTTATCACTGGAAAAGTAATAGTAAGAGAGCTACAGGTGGACAAAGGATTAAATGCACAGCAACAAGAGAGCTTCTGTCAAACCTTAAGAGATAATACTTTGTTATTGTTTAAAAAAATCCACAAGCTTAAACTCCCATGAGGTATGATTTGAATTCTTCATGAACATCCATATCACATGAAGTTTAACTCTGTAAATATTTAAAAGACAAAATATATTCTGACTCACAAATTTCAAGTATATTTTATCAAAACCTGTACAATACTTTACATAAGTTCTGATGACCTGGGTATTTTGAGATCCTATAATGCCTTAAAGGACACAGCTGAAATACAGAATTATGAAACAGACATTTCATTTAATTATAGCTTTGATTTTACAGTTTCACATTTTAAATGTAACAGAAAATAAACACTGAGAAAATACAGTCTGCTCTCCAAAAGTTAACTATATTTACTAACCCTTCCTTAAGGTAATTGTAAAGTATCTGTTTAGCAGTCTCTTCATTCGTTTGCTGTGCAAGATCTTGCTGTCCTTTTAAGAGATCAGGAGTTGCCTAAAATGACAAGATAAAATGTCAAAAAATAAAATCCTATGAGGGTTGTAAATACAACCTGTACAATTTAAGTTCTCCATTCTATTATATTATGAAAACATTTATGTACTGTGGACCTGAAGTTCACAAAGATTCACTGGAGTTTTGGCTTACTGCAAGAAGGAAGCGTACTCCACACCAAAAGAAAGAAAATACCATTTTTCATCGAGTTACACATATTTCAGTATTCTACTTTTGTGCATTTATGCTTAAGAATCATCATAACACAATAATCTTCTTTGGAACCATCATCTTCCTTCACCCATACAAGAATAAGTTGTTTTACAAGCCATGTTTTCTATACCTGGAACTACAGGAGTAATTTTTGTATTTACATTTCTCCAGAAATTCTGTTAACCCACTTGGAAGTACTGTGTGATGGGATTTTGTTCTAACGAAGAGCCAAAAAATATGCATTTAACAATATGACAGTTTTAGTATGCTAGAGTGCAAAACACAACTTAAAGAGTAAATTCAAAATTACCTGTGTATTAGGGACAGATGAAAATGTTTTTACAGAAACTTTCTTGGCTCCTGAATCAGGTGGAACTGTGATTCTGTTTGGTAACAACAAAGTAGAAGTTACTGTTCTGACTTCCTCTCTCTTATTCTGTCCTGGAAGAGTAGATGACCTAAACGTTGAGCTCTCGGTATCAGGTCCATTTTGTTTATGGTATTGCAAAGAATTGAAATTGCTGATCTGAGGGTCTTTATCAGGCATTTGCAGTTTTCCAATACTTCGAGCAGTAATCTTCATCTCTTTGGAGGGTGACTTTTGATCTCTGGATAACTGCTTGCGAAGGCAAACTTTAGACGGTCTCAGTAAGTGCTCCGTTGACTTGCCCAAGCTTTTACTGAATTCACCCAAATAATCTGAATTTACATCAAGCCCTAATGACAAGGCACTATCAACACTTCTTGATCTTTTACGATCATCTGGATGAATTCTATTCCTTTTTCCTGACCTACCTCTTCTGTGAGGATCAACTTTCTTATCAAATTTTTCAATGAGCTGATTTACTCCTGGAAGCGAACCAGTGTCAATATCACGACCAGTTCCAGGCAAAAATGGGATGTATCTTCTGTTTTCATGCCGATTAACATTGTCTGCATAGATGGCATACTCTTGGTCATCAAGTAAAAATCTGTATAAGGAATTTGCAGAAGTTGGAGTAGCTGATGAGGATGATGATCTTCGTGAGTCATCCAATACTGGCCCAGATGAATCCTGTCTGCGGAAGGGAAGAACATCTGGTCTAGGTTTTCTTGTCTCCGGATAAGCAGTAGGACTAACACATGGGGAACCTCCTGCAGATGAAAATGATTCTGAAACACACACTTCTTTGGGGCTGATCGTGCTACTGGGACAATCTAATGGCTGCTTATTTTGGTCTTCTATTTCTACTGACCTGTTCAAATGTATATTTTTTGAATTTCCTTTGGTTGCCTCTGCAGGATACGTATTTGTTTTCTGTAGGGACACTAATTTAGATGAGGAAATCCAAGGTTTTGCTTCAATTTTTTCATCTGCAAAGGATTTAGATTTACTGCACACAGAAGACTGGTAATTATCCAAGTTCACATTATTTTTTTCAGGATCATAAGGCTGTAAAAGTTCAGGATGTCTTTGAAAGTTCAACAAATTGGAAGATTTCACTGTTCCATCTTTAAAATCTGATATTCCATCTTCATTTTGATCCAGATTGGTTATCTTTAGGCTTTTAAGCATACAGGGTTGTATGTGCTGTGTTCCAGGAAACTTTGTGTGTTCACTGTTTTTGCCCTCCAACTTGAAAGTAGTATTGGAGTCTGTGGTTGGCTTGCTTACAGTCTGAGAAATGACATGCTGTTCTTTTTCAGAAGGAGAAGGATTTTCTGACAAATATCCTTCTGTATTGTTTAGCACTATGTAAGGATGTCCATCAATTCCTTGGACTCTAATACTGACACCATATGACCCCATCCTAGAATTCTGCGCATTTCTAGTTTTTTGAGTGTCCTCACTTGCAAGTTCAAGAGTGACTTCATAGTCCTGCTGCACATGCTTAAAACCAGCAAAATATGGCTCCATGATTATCAGAGGATTCTAGCTGAATAGAAGAAAAATTACAAAAATGTCACTGTTTAAAATACTTTAGATTATTTCATTAATTACTTTATTCCACCATTCAGTGTGACTATGAAGACTAACAGTAATAAGCAGAGAAATCAATATACAGGGTATACAAAACCCAAAGCAAAGTATTGTGATACAAAGACAAATGTCTGATTGACTGATTCTGGATCAATGTAATGTTATTTTATGACTGTAAATGTTAAGAAATAACAAGAGTAACGATTAGCTACACAGAGTTGGTGCTAGTTGCTCTGGAATCAAATAACTTCAAATATAAGCAATTCTAGTACAATTTTTTGAGGCAAAGCAGTTTTCATTTGGGGTAATCTCCACTATATTTACTGAAAGACCATACCCTTCACAAATCAATGATCATTTTATAGCCAGCAGTTAGTACCAGCCACATTAAGATTTAAACATAAGCCCAGGATAGCAAAACAAATCTGCCTAGATTTAGGTTACGTGTTTTGGATAACTAAAGCACTGCAAGGAAGGTCAATATTGTCATGCCTTTAAGTTGTGCTTTTATGTACCTGGTTTTCAACATTTGTTTCTAAAGCCATTTGAAAATAATTTTTTTCATGTATTATTGTGAGCTTGTTCCAGAAAACTTCAGTTGCTGTTTTAAAACAGATACTTTGCTGAGCAACAGAAATGGAAAAATATTGCTAGTATTTGCAAGGCAGATAGTAACTTTTTCAGAAGCACAGGAATGCTAACTCCAGCCTATATGTACTAAAATTGTTCCAGTTCTAGCACAGAGTAAAATAAATCCTACCTGTGCTTTTAATGTTAAATGCCATTATTTCTTTCTATAAGAGCTGGTTTTGTGGGTAGTTTTACTTTATTGTCTCTTGCATTTTACGAGCCAACTGTCTAGTGGCAGAGGCACTAGAGTGACAGTAAGAACTGTGTCTATGAAAGCATGGAACACAAGACTGTCAAACTGATGCAAAACCTGGAGGGAATAAACTTTTGAACTGAGCTGGAGAGTTGAGTAATCACCGGAGCCTGACAAAACCAAGATCACTAAATGATGGTGAATAATAAAGAGGAAATAGAAACAACAGGATGTCTCATGGAAAAACAAACCTCTGCAGCCAGTTTCACTCTCCTGTGTATCTCAGCACGAACCACCTCCCTCAGACAGAAGAATTATAATTTTTTTCCTGACAGTGAATTAAAAAGTTTGGCTCGATATTCATAGTATACTAGTTTCCACCCAATTCTTCCTTCTAGCAGGACAGCTCCCCTCAAAAACCTCTTCCCCTCCCTAAAAACCAACTCCAGCTCCTCCTCAACAGCAAGCTTATTTGATCTGAAGGAATCAGCATATGTTTCTCTAAACACAATGCTAGAAATCAAGTGATTATTTTACTGAAGAAAAAAAGCAGTCTTACTGTCAAAGTCTTCCTTGGATGTTAAAAGATTTGGTGAACTAGTTAAATTCACCAAAATTAATTCAGAGGTTAAATTCACTTAATAAAGGGAAGTAAACAGACACTATGAATTTGATCTCCATTTAAGACCTCCCGGAGTAGGAAGAGAAACAGAACAAGGGAAAAGCAAAGATGAGCCAGAGAAGGCGAAGGGAAGTAGAAAAAGGAAGGAACAAGAACAATGGAAGGAAACAGCAAGCACCAGTACACCTGGGCCTCCATTCTCTTTATTTCTCCATACTATTTTACCTTCTTTTCTGAATACTCACAGAATCTCTCATTAATTACACTGTTTCAACATAGAAGCTGAGGCAAAAATGACAAAGTAAAAATAGCAGAAGCTGATTCCAATCACCCAGAGTCAATGAAGAGATCACTATTGATTCAGTGGGTTTTTGACTAGGGCAGTGCAATTAGCTTCTGAGCTGCACTGATGGTGGCTGAGAAAGCAAAGGAGGAAAAAGAGATAGCGCTGTACAGAGCTGTAACAGAATATACACTGTAAAGGAACCAGACCTGGTTACACTAATCTAGTGAATGGCTGCTGGAGGCAGCAAAGGTAGAAAACCAGGTTCTCCACTCTTTCTTTAAACTGTTGAGTGGGTCCAGCTACCTTCATCAATGTCTCAAAATTGTTCTTTCTTTGCTCAAGGTAACAAAAAGGAAGTATTTTTGAAAGTCCAAAAGATGTCTTCAAATAAAGTAAGCATTTGGAAGCTTTTATGCTTTCTGGTTTTATGACTGTTATATCATACAAGGTGGATCTGAACTTACTACTATGGGTAATAATAAAATTAATAAAATAAAATTTAATAACAAATCATTTGAAGTTTTAGCAAAACAAAAATTATGAAAGAAAATTTCTCAGGCTTCTAAATCAAATCTGCATGACTGTCTACAGAAAAAGTATTAAAAAGACATGATTTTGTAACTGAAAATTGCTAACCAGGAGACTTCAAACAGCCTATGAAAAAAAGCCATAAAATTCTGTATCTTCTAAAAAGCATTTAAAGTGTCTTAACGTTTTCAGAAAACACAAGTGATTCAGAACTCTAACTTTTTATAAAGAAATCTAGTTTGCAGAATACAGTGTGCCAATACTACTCTTAGTAAGTTAAAATCACTCATGGCATATTTGCATGGGACCATGTAAGTGAAGAAACCCCATGATTTATACATAGTTGGTAGCATACACCTGCAGAAGATAAATACATGAACACCTTTAAAAAGGCTCTCCACTTAGTGATTCTAGCAAGATTAGAAATGCCACCAACTATAGGAAAGTTTACACTACACTTTAAAGCTGCATGTGTTACCAGACCTATAAAAAGCGTAAAGTTCACCTGAATTTGCCAACAGTGGCAACAACTAATAAACAAAAGAAAAAGGGGTCAATAAAAATAAACTTAAAACTTAAAAAAAGGATTCAAATCAATCAGCATAAAGATCAGATAAGCAATAAATTACAATATGTCAAATTCAAGGTGACTGCCAAAACTGTGCTTTCAAACATGCTGCAAAGTTGCTAAAAATATTAAATAACCAGAAAAAAAAATTCAAACCCCTCAAAACCAACCACAAAACACCAAAACCCCTAGTGTATAGAGGAAACAGTATTTAGGTTAATAATCTACCTTAAATTAACCATTGATATATTTAATCTGTCTCTAAAGCTGTAAAGAAATAAGTCTATTTGTCTTCTCCATCTGCATTATACTAACAAACCACTTAATTTTACTATACAAAAGGATAAAGCCTTGTAGAAATCAAAGTGCTAAACAAACAATTTTTTAAATAAAATATTTTCTCTTTCTGGAATTGTGAAAAAAAATTACATATCTAAATCCCCACTACATCTACAAGAAAGTAAGACCGCTGGCCCTACTAGTCAAACATTTGCAGGTTCTTGTTTTATAGCACGTCAAGCCACAGTGGATAATACTCCCGTGAACTACATAATATCAAAAAGTTATTTTACAACACATGAAAGCATGGGGTTTGTAACACTATAAATATTTTAATTTTTTTTTTAAAAAAAGCATTTCTGGTTTTCATCACACAGTCTTTCTGATGAAAACCTAAAGCCTCTAATAATGTTAATGGTATAATTACAGTTACAGTCATATTTCTATACATACATTGTACAGTTGGCATCTCGGGCTTTGGCAGGTTCACAGCAACAGATTAAGATGAGAGGTCTGAAACTGTTCCTCTCCCGCACAACTGCCCCACTCCTCTGATGGATGTCACCATGTCAAAAACGAGAACATACGAAAACTCTGATGGCCGAGTTTACGCCTCAGCCATGAAAATTTGCAGCCTGGCGTACTGGGGTAAATGCAATCAGCCTTGTGTTCCGCACTGTTAATGACTGAAATTCTGACATCTGACAGGGTGGAGGAGCTGACAGCTGGGGGCACGGACAGCTACAACTGTCCAGTTTTAATCTTCTTTAAGTCGGCTGAAGCCCTCAAATGTTATGGCAGAACAGTTTGTTTATCTTAAGCCTAGAAAAAAAGGTTAGACATTTTAACAGCAGTTAGGAAGATATTTTCCCTGTTTGTGGGGCTGCTTGTTGTTTCCTTGTAGCTATTTATAAAAAAATAAAAGTTTTGTTGGTTTTGTTTGGGTTTGTTTTTTTTTAAATAGAGAGTGATATAAATTCTAACTCCAGGTTTTCTGGCAAACTAACATTTTTAATTTTAAATAATATAGTCTTGCTAGTAATTTTATTTACTGTCTCAAATGAGTTTAAAAATACAGTTTTCAGAAAACAGAAACAATTATTCTGCATAAATTCTCAATTAGGTAGAAGACTGTCATTCTATTTTATAAAATCAGTTTTTATCTCCTATTTGTGAAACAAATATTATCACAACAGCATATACAAATTAATCAGGACGTAAGAAATAACTACTTCAATAAATTATTTTATTTTGAAAATATTTTACTGGCTAAAACAACAGGTAATATAGTCAAGGACATACAACCATCAATATCTCTCAGAGATTAAAAGTTCAGCTGGAGTTTAGAACAATTAAAGTATTCTGATTGGTAACTTCATCTGCTCTTCATACCAAGCCAGATTTTATTGAGCAGCAAAGTTTCAACTGAAAACTTGCAAACAGTCCAGAAAAGAAATAGCCTGATTTTCTACAGTTACACCATATAAACTTAAACAGCTGGATTCACTAATCAACAAGTTCAGTAAACCCAGTCATCATCTAGAGCAAGTCCAAAAGAACACAGAAGTAAAAATCCAGGAAACAGAGTAAGGCACAAACAAAGCAAATTTACTCCACTAGGTAACATGTTAAGTTTTACAGATATCATTGGAGTATATTCACTGTATGACCCAGATAAGTTATTTTATTTGAAATTTCAGCAAAAGACTAATTTTCAACCAGATATCTCAGTGAAAACTGTCAAGAGCTGAAAGAAACTAACTTAATCAGTTTACCATAGACAGCCTAAGCCTGCAGGCTTAAGCCTTTGTGTTTACAGAGGCCCTTCCTC